CTGACATACTTTGGACATGTTGTGAGGAGAGACCGGTCCTTGGAGAGGGACATCATGCTTGGGAGGGTGGAGGGACAGTGCAGGAGAGGAAGGCCCTCTATGAGGTGGATTGATTCAGTGACCAGGATAATTGGGATGGGAGTGTCAGAGACAGTGTGATTGGCACAGGACAGAGCAGAGTATAGGGCTGTTGTACATAGGGTCGCTGTGAGTTGCAAGCGACTCGACGGCACAGAACAACAAACAACAAAAGTCATTGGCAAAAAAGAAGGCCCCAGGAAGTGATGGGATACTAACATAGATATTTCCGCAAACCAGATGAGTGATTGATGAGAAATCTTTGCCGAAAGTAGAGATCACACGGAAGATGGTTGCTTGTGTTTCACTGGCCATGGAAAGGCCTTTCACAGAAGCTCTGGTGGCTTAGTGGTAAGGAGTTGTGTATGGCCAGCCAAGAGCCAAGCAGTTCATGTCCACTGGCTGCTGTGGGAGAAAGACGGGCATTCTCCTGGTGTTCACGGCCTCTGAAACCCGCTGGAGACTCAGCAACGAGTGGGCTCCGGTTCAGCAGTACAAAGCAATACGGGGCTCTGTGGGGATTGTAACCCGTTTGCCTGTGGACCAGCACTGGACTTTGGCAGGGTGTACATGCGAAGACAGAGTAGGGCAGGGCAAGGTTTACATCTGTTGTTCTAGCATTGCTGTGAGCTGTAGTTGACTCCACGCAGTTTTGTATGTTCAGGCATATGTGCTTTATTAGATAGGTTGTTTACCGCTGTTTTCTCCCACCTGGTTCTCTCTCTCTTTTCTTGAAATTTATTATTAACTTCAATGAAAATTTACAGAGACTTTGGATTTCCATTCATTCGCTGTTGCCCTTTTCTCCCCTCCCAACCCTCTCCCCTAGTACACTACCCTCTTGGAAAAGGAAAAGAAAAATTCTTTCATAGTTTTACAATCCCTCCCTCCAGGTCCACTCCTCTATGTAGCCTTCCCTCTGGACTCCTGTCATGACAATAATACCCAATCACATATCCCTTTTAAACAGTTTTCTCTCTCATCTGTTTCAATGTGGTATACATTACTGAACCCGTCTTCCTCAGTCTGCCCCCAACCCCAAGGTCAGTCCTGTTTTACAACAGTGGCACCATGCAGTATTTTTTTGTTTTTTGACTGAAATACCTCACTCAGCATAATATCCTCCAGAGTCACCCATTTTGAATCATATTGCATGAATTTCTTGTTTTTCAGTGCTGCATAGTATTCCATTGTGTGAATATACCACAGTTTCTCTATCCATTTGTTTGTTAATGGGCACTTGGGTTGTTTCCAACTCCTTGCTATTGTGAACAAAGCCGCGATAAACATGGGTGTGCATATATCTGCTTGGGTGTCAGTTATGGTCTGTTTGGGGTATATTCCAAGTAGTGGAATTGCTGGGTCAAATGGTATCTCTATTTGCAACTTTTTGAGAAAGCTCCATTCCGCCTTCCACAGTGGTTGCACCATTTTACACTCCCACAAACAGTGAATAAGAATTCCAGTTTCTCCACAACCTCGCCAGCATTTGTTGCTTGCTGTTCTGTTAAATTTTTCTATTCTGACGGCAGTGAGATGATATCTCAGAGTTGTTTTGATTACAGTTCTCTTAAGAGTGTTTTTCAAAGAGCAATTCTTCATGTTGATAGGATGAAGCAATCAGTAGTTTCTTTTCTAGATTGTGCTTTTGGTAACACATCTAAGAAATTTTATCTAAGAAGTGTTGACTAATTGAAGGTTACAAAGGTATTTCTCCTATATTTTCTGTCTAAAATGTTGTCTTTTGTGCACCCACGTTTTGATCTATGAAAGAGTTTGTTTGCATGAAGTGTGTGAGGTGCAAGTCTGTGCAGGGAGTTGGTGTGTGGGTTATTGACCTTTGGGAGGAACTTCCTGTTGGTGTGAGGCATGTGGGGTGTGGCAGGGTATGTGTCTGTGATGGGATTCATGTGATCGTGTGGGGTCTGTGGTATGTACTCCGTGTGTTCAGGGAGTTCATGTGTGGTGTGGTGATAAGGCCTGTGACAGGGATTTGGTGTGAAGTGTACTATGTGTGGGGTCTGGGACAAGGAGTGTGTGTGTGTGTGTGTGTGTGTGTGTGTGTGAGAAGTGTGGAGCATGCTGACCGAGTATTCTTGCACACATGGGCTCAGATGTCTGACCCTTTCTGTCAAAGCGCAGGCCAGCTAAGTGAAAGCAGCTGAGCTCTGCCAGGTGTTCAGCTAGCTGCAGGAATGGCCGCCTGCGGCCAGCAGAGGTGTTGGCACTGCCCCGTCTTGGCTGTTTCTGTCCGCCTCGCTTACAGCTGCAGGCCGTTTTGTGCAGGTTCTGTCGAGGACACCGTGTCCAGCTTATTTGGTGATGAGGACGTCGAGGACGAGGAGCTGGAGGCTGCGGCCAGTCACCTCAACAAGGACTTTTACCGAGAGCTCCTCGGGGACAGCCTGCCGGGCTGCTCAGAATCAGTAGGGAGCGCAGAAGAGGGGAGCCGGCCCCCCGCCCTGGAGTCCCTGCTCGGACCCCTGCCGACAGCGGCCAGCCTGGGCATCTCTGAGTCCATCCGAGAGTGCATCTCCTCTCCAAGTCGGGACCCCAGTAAGTAGGGGTTGAGGTGAGGTGCTGCTGGCGGTAGGCAGTGGAGAGGGGAAGGGGCTGCTGGCCACAGGAGGAAGGGGTCTCTTGGTTCAGAGAAGGGGGGAGGGCAGGGGTCTGCTCCAGGTTGGAGGGAAGCGAGAGGGAGTGGCTTGAGAGGAAAGGAGGAGGAGGGCGCTGCTCTAGGGAGCACTGTTGGTGGAGGCCTACGATTTGACCAGTTGGCCCTGGAGGACACTCAACCCTGCTAGTTCTCCCTCCTCAGCCAGGTGATGTTGAGGTGTTTTCAAGGGTGGGCTTGTGGGAAGGATACTGTCATTTCCCTGTCCATGTGGTGATAAGGAGGAATAGGGGGAGAAGAGGTAAGTCCCAGGGGGGCTGTGGCCTCAGTGAACAGGCCACAGAAGACTTAAGAGTCATGGGAGTGTGGAGTGCAGAAACGGACATACGCAGCCGAATTGGAGGTCACAGCATCCTTCCTTCTTCACCCGTCTCTTGTCATGAGACATGGTCTGGCAGGCTGACGGCTCTTCTGTCTTGGGCAGGCCCCACTTGCTTCCCCTGGCTGAGGGCCAGCTGGTGAGCGAGGCAGAACAGAGCCTGAGGGCCAGCTGGTGATTTGCTAGGCACCGTGCATGCTTTCTGGGTCAGGTGTGAGGAGGCGCCTGTGTCCCATGCCACCTGCCCTCTGGGGAAGGGAGAGTGCACACAGGGCCAGTCATGGGCATGTGCCCTGGACCATGAGGGCCAGACAGAAACTGGGACATGCGGGAGGGTGCGCAGTGAGAGGGAAGGGCAGAGGCCAAGGATGCGGGACTCCCCAGCAGGAACTGTGTAGGTATGGACTTGTAGACCCTCTCACAGGGCCAACTGCTGGAGTGAGGGATGGAGTCTGAGCTGAGAGGACTGAACCTTGGGTTTGTGGACGTGATAGGCTGTAGAGAGGAGGTTGCCAGTGGACTCTTGGATGTGAGACAGAATGACCTGAGGTGGCCGTCACAGCTCCGTTCCTATAATCGGGCTCTTCCTGCCTCTGCCTGCAGCATCCCAGAAGGGACCCTCAACCTCACTAGTTGCTGTGCCCCTTTTCGTTGTGGGCTTCACAGTCTCTCAGTGGCTCTGGTCAGCTCCTCACATGACCACACATGATGTGAGGGAGTGTCCTACCCAGAATGCCCTCAAGAAGGCCAGGCTCAGCATGCAGTGTCTAAAGGGGACGCCATGGGAACAGAGTTGGGCATGGCTGGTGGTGCTGAGGAAGACCTGGCTGCTTGGCCCCTGGCTGGAATGTCTGTGCAGCTTGACCACCGTCTGCCCCAGCCAGCTGACAGTGTTGACCCTCATACTTCCCTCTAGAAGACACCTTGGAGGACGGCGAGCTGGACCTCAGTGGCATCGATGACCTTGAAATTGACAAAGTAAGCTATTGTTTGTATGCACAGCCCAGTCGGTAGAACTCGGGTGGAGGTGGCTGGTCTGCTGCTTGTTGGGACCCCTAGGGAACTTGCTGTGCCCTGGACATGGGTCCCTCCTGTGTGGGGCGCTCTTGGCACTGCCACCTTGTGGCTACTCCATCTCCCTCCACTCCCACACCCCAGTTTTGATTCCTGGCAGCTTCAGGAATCAGAGGCCCGATAGGCCTCTGTCCACTGACACGACAGTGTCCAGACCCAGTGTGGCAGTGGTCCTTTCAGGCCTCTGTTGAGGAGAAGTCTCTAGGACTCTATTAACACAAGACAGCCCTTGCCTGCTTCAGGGTGTGGTGGGTCAGGAGGTCAGAGGCCATGCCTGTCCCACTCTTTCTTCCCACTTGGCTGATACAGGAGCAGAAGTGCTGCTCAGGGTGGCCCAGAACCCGAGTAACCCTACCCTTGTGTCTGTGCAGTACATCCTGGACGAGGCAGAGACCCGTGTGAAGGCCGAGCTGTGGATGCGTGAGAATGCAGAGTACCTGCGCGAGCAGAGGGGTAAGCCGGGGGAAGCCCCCTGCCATCAGCCCGGGAGGACCCCCCCCCTGACCCTGCACACTCCATCTTTCAGAGAAAGAAGCCAGGATTGCCAAGGAGAAGGCACTCGGCATCTACAAGGAGCACAAGGTAGGGCCGCCACGTGGCCAGGTCACACGTGGATGCTGGGGTCACTGCCTGGGGTGTCCACTGTCCTGTCACCACGTCTGTGCTGGGGTTCCTGCCCGGGGTGCCCACTATCCTGTCACCATGTCTGCTGAAGGAGGGGGCCTGCCTGTGGTGCAGCCACATCTGTCAGCTGACGGGTGTAAAGTCCTAGGACAGCACAGTGCTGCCAGGGCTGAGCAAGGGCTAGGAGAAAGCGAGAACCCTCTGGAGGGCAGATGAGGTCCAGTTGGGAGTCTGAGGGCTGCAGTGTCCAACAAAGACCCAGCAGCCTAATGCTCCTTTACTGAGGCATGAATTCTGGAAGCATGTGGAGCCCCTACTGCCTGGCCCTTCTGTGCCCGTCCATTCCCCAGCAACCCTTGCTTTTGTGCCCAACTCAGCCGAAGAAGTCGTGCAAGAAGAGGGAGCCCATCCAGGCCAGCACAGCGGGCGAGGCCATCGAGAAGATGCTGGAGCAGAAGAAGATCTCCAGCAAGATCAACTACCACGTGCTGCGGGACCTCAACAGTGCGAGTGGGGGCCCCAGTGGGGAGGAAGAGGCACCACCAGGAGAGGGCACAGGTCTGCTGGGGCCAGTCAGCGCCAGGAAGCCCTCACGGAAGAGGACAGCCAGCCGCAGCTCCGCTGATCCCACCAGCGTGGGAAAGAGGTACCGTGTACAGAGTCCGGGGTGCGAGTGTGTGGGAAGTTGAGGGTGGTCCCTTGTCAGATGTGACACCTGACACCAGGGCCTGAGCTGACCTTGAGTGGAGGAGTGGGTGTGAAGGGGCATGGTCCAGGGCCTCCAAGGGCTGTGTCCAGGGGGCTGCATCTAGGAAGAAGATAGTTGACACTTGCTGGGACGTGCTGGCAGAGCACGTGTCTCGGGACCTCCTCTTAGGAAGGGAGTGAGGGAGGGTGGTCTTCAGGGCTTTCTGTCAGGACTCCCGCTCTGTGCCGTCCATGGCCCTCCCTTGGCCATGGCCATGCTGCACCACTGCACCAGCCCTCGGAACCACCCTCAGCACAGTCATCGCTGTGTACTGGGGCTGCACAGGCCAGCTCAGTCAAGGTGGGCCCAGCTCGGTGGGGACTGCATGTCCTCGTCCTCTCCTCATCACTGGTGCCTGTCTCCCCAGTGAAGTCTGCAGTGCCTTTTCCTTCTCTGACATGAACAAAGCAGGGTGGCAAGGACAGGCTGCTAGAGCCTTTGCCCATGTGGACAGCCAGGCGGGGCTTCTGATTTTAATCAAATGTTCCCTTTTGTATGAATTCTGCTAGATGCTGTCTCTTCTTTGCTTTACACGGCAATAAAGTGAAATCAGAATTGCTGATGTTAAAAAAAATCCAGACGCTTTCATAGCAAAAGCCATTCTTCTGGTTTCTCCAGTAAACTGTGACATTTAGGACATCACCTGCCAAAATGGACGTGGGTCCCAGTGGAGGGCACCTGGAACTGAGGGGTTCCAGCTGAAGCGTGTCTGTCACCCTGATATTTCAAAAGATGGGAGGCACTGGATATCGTTCCTAGCCCATTGGCTGGTACTGACCAGATGGGAGGGGACATGTATAGATGTTGGAGGTGCTGTGGGGAGTGGAGGGCACTGCTTCTGGGGGCACTGAAGGGGCTAGTGGACACTGCTGCTGAGGAAGTAGGGGCATAGCTCTGGAGGTGCTGGGAGGTGGGGGGGGTACTGACGCTGGGAGGCTGGGGGATGGGAGTATGGCCCTGGGGGGGCTGGGTGCTGGGTGGGATGAGGGCATGGCCCTGGAGGTTCTGGGTAGTGGGGGTACTGACGCTGGGCGACTGGAGGGGTGAGGGAGGCACTCCTGTTGTGGGGCAGGGGGGTAGGAGTATGGCCCTGGGGATGCTACAGGGCTGGAGGGGGGGCGGTTACTTCCACTGGGGACTGGGGGGTGGAGTCGTGGCCCTGGGGGCATTGGGGAGTTGGGCCAGTGCCTCTTGGAGCACCATGGAGTCATATAGGAGGGCTTGGTGACTCCCTCTTATAGGGGAGTGAAAAGACTGGCGATGTTGCTGGGATGTCAGGGAAGGCACAGTAGGAAGAGGGGCGAAGGGAGCCACCTAGTGGGATGGGCGTGGAGGCAAGAGACTGGAACGGTGGGAGGGAGGGGCCAGCAAGGGCAGCACTGGTGAGGATGGGACTCAGCTTGGTACCACCAGGACCTCACTGGACGGCGTCACTGGTGCCTCTGGTAGGGAGTGGGGTCAGCATGGGGCCACTAACTGGGCTGAACTATGCATGTCTTTCCTCCCAGATTGAGGCCCCTAGTGTCTGCTCAGCCAGCCAAAAAGGTGGCCCTCAACGAGGTGAGTTGTTGGGGACTGGCACAGCCATGTTCTGGAAAGCACACACCACAGGTCCTATTTTGGGGGCCATGCAGAGAGTGGGCCTAGCAGAGGGCAGCCCCATCGGGCTCCAGGAGCTCTAACCTGGCGCTGCTCTGTGCCTCACCAGTGGGGTGGGGCAGGGCGAGGTCTCCCAGGGGTACTCCTTGAGAGGATTGGCATGGAAGGGGTGGGGCCTCCCAAAGGTGTTTCTAGGCTGGGTCTGGGTCTCCCAGGTGTGGACCACAGAGAGATTGGGTGGGGCAGAATCTCCCTGACAGGGTCGGAAAGGGGTGGGGTTACCTAGGGTGCTCCCTAGTGTGATTAGGGGTTAGGAGCAGGATCTCCTAGACATGGACCCCGGGGTGAGGTAGGGCAGGTCTCCCATGTGTGGTCCCCAGGGTTGGGGGCACAGGGTATCCCGGCTGTGGACCCCAGGGTGATCGAGGTAGAATGAGGTTGGGTCTCTTGAGTGCTCTTCCAGGTGGTTGGAGTGCTGTAGGAGTGGGGTCTCCTGGGCAGTATCCCTGGGGTGGGTGGGGCGGGGTGGGGTCTCTCAGGTGGCTTCTGTTCCCAACCTCTTTCCTGGTTCTCAGGCAGTGCTGCCAAGCTCCCGCAGCCCTGGAGCTGACCCTGTGAGGCCAGCTGTTGTGGTTGAGAGTGGGCCAGTGTTGTACCACCCAGATGAGGACGTGGATGAGGACGACGTGGAGGAGGACGAGGGCGAGCCCTGCGTGAGCGCCCTGCAGATGATGGGCGGAAACGGTGGGTGGGCTTGGGGAGGGCACCCCTGCTCCCGGCTGTCTCCATTCAGCCTGTGGTCTTGCCCTGGCAGGCAGTTCTGAAGGGGCTGGAGCAGCCTGAGGGGTGGGAGTTAGGGGCCTGGGAGAGGGGTAGAGTACTGGAGCCCAAGGATGGAAGGGATCCAGCAGTGTGGAAATTAACAAACAATGTCACTAATAACACACAAGCAAAATCTTGCTGAGGATTATCCAAAGACAGCTCTAACAGTACATCAGCAGAGAGCTGCCAGAAATACAAGATGAGTTTAGAAGAGGCTGTGACACTAGAGACATCATTACCAGCGCAGACGGATCCTGGCTGAAAGCAAAGAGTACCAGAAGGACGTCTATCTGTGTTTCATTGACTGTGCAGAGGCACTCTACTGTGTGGAATACAACAAATTGTGGCCAACCTTGAGAAGAATGGGAATCCCAGAACACTTGATTATACTCATGTGAAACCTATACTTAGACCAAGAAGCAGTAGTACAAATTGAGTAAGGAAAACACGGCATGGTTCAAAATCAGGAAAGAGTACGTCAGGATGTGTCCTTTCCCTATACCTTTTCAATCTATATGTAGAACAGTGCATTCAGGAGGCAGGACTTTTTTTAAAAAATATATAATGTTTTAAAATTTATAATTAATTTCAATGAAAATTTACAGAGACTTTGGATTTCCATTCATTCATTGTTGCACTTTTCTCCCTTCCCAACCCTCCCCCCCAGTACACTACCCTCTTGGAAAAGGAAAAGAAAAGTTCTTTCATTGTTTTACAAACCCTCCCCTAGGTCCACTCCACCATGTAGCCTTCGCTCTAGACTCCTGTCATGACAAAAATACCAAATCACATATCCCTTTTAAACAGCTTTCTCCCTCATCTGTTTTGGTGCAGTATATGTTATTGAACCCATCTTTCTCAGTCTCCCCCCAACCCCCCAACCCCGATGTCAGCCCTGTTTCACAACAGTGGCACCATGGAGTATTTGTCCTTTTGTGACTGAGATACTTCATTCAGCATAATGTCCTCCAGGGTCACCCATTTTGAATAATATTCCATGAATTCCTTGTTTTTCAGTGCAGCATAGTATTCCATTGTGTGAATATATCACAGCTTCTCTATCCATTCGTTTGTTGATGGGCACTTAGGTTGTTTCTAACTTCTTGCTATTGTGAACAAAGCCGCGATAAACATGGGTGTGCATATATCTGCTTGGATGTCAGCTATGGTCTCTTTGGGGTATATTCCCAGTAGTGGAATTGCTGGGTCAAATGGTATTTATATTTGCAACTTTTTGAGAAAGCGCCATACCGCCTTCCACAGTGGTTGCACCATTGAGGCAGGACTTTTATGAAGAGCAATTTGACATCAGGATTGGAGGAAGACTCAGCCACAACCTGCTTATGCAGATGACACAAACCTGCTTGCCAGAACTGAAGAGGACTTGAACTATTTGCTGCAGAAGGTCAAGGACTATAGTCTTTACTATGGATTGAAGCTCAACATCAAGAAGACAAAGATTCTTACCACTGGGCCAATCGGCAGCACCATGATGGGTGGAGAAGAGATTAAGGCTGTTAACAGTTTCATTTTGCTCTGGTCCACAGTCAACACTTTTGGCACCTACAGTCAAGAAATGAAATGATGAATTGCTTTGGGAAAGTCTGCTGTCAGTGACGTTGCCAGAATGCTAAATGAGCAGCAATATCAGTCTAGAGACCAAGGTGCTCCTGATCCAGGCCGTGGTCTTCTCAGTTACTTGCTGTGCATCGGAGAGTTGGACAGTGACTAAGGATGACAGAAGAATTGATGCCTTTGAGTTGTGGTGCTGGAGAAGAGCTTTGAACATACCATGGACCACCAAGAGACAAACATCTGTTCTAGAAAGAGTGAAACCAGTTTGCTCCTTGAAGACAAGGATTTTGAAGCTCTGTCTCACATACTTCAGGCACTCATCCAGAAGGGGCTAGTCATTCTTGGGAGAGTGGAGGGTCAGTGCAGAAGAGGAAGACCCTGAATGAGTGACTGTGGCAATGGAGGCAGGTGTGTCAGAGACAGTGGGTTGCTTAAGGTATGACAGGTTCAGAGCTGTTGTCCATAGGGGTTGCTGAGAGTTGTAGTGGGCTCCAAAGCACTTAACAGCAACAACAGAGGCCCATGCAATGGGAAGGGAGCGGTTAGGGGAGTACAGTGTAAACCCCCAGGGACGGGGGGAGTAGAGGGTTGCCCTCTATGGGGAGGGAGAGTTGGGGAGTAGAGGGTAGCCCCTGTCACCAGGGGTACTAACTGCCTCTGTACTCCGCAGATTATGGCTGCGACGGTGATGACGATGATGGCTACTGATGCAGAATCTCCCCCAGTGGCTGGACCACACCCAGCAGTGGGCACGGCCCTCGGCCCACAGAGCGTCCAGCAGGGCGGCCACAGCTCCCAGGCAGGGTGGGCAAGAAACTCAGTGAGCAGAGGAGCATCTGCTGCCTGCCCACACCCCCACACCGCCTCTGTGGGACTTTGCTTTTGGGATCATGTTTTGAGAAATGGAAGTATTTCCACTCAGTGGGGAGATTGCACTGGTGTCTTCCTGCGCCTGATCACTTATACCAGCTGGCGTTCCTGGTCTGGCATCAGCTCGACCTTTAGCTTACTGCTCTCGTCTAGAGCTCGCTCAGGGTGTCTGACAGAAGAGGGGTGCATTTGGTGGCCAGCCAGCCCTTTACAGAGAGCTCAGTAGGGCCAAATGGACCCCTTAATTGGACAGCCTCCTCCGTCTAGAGCTGCATGATCCTGAAGGAGGTGTTGGGCCCAGAAGGGAGCTCCTGGCACCCTCTGTCTCTCAGGCCTCAGCCCCCCACCAGGCCTCCAGACCCTGAGGCAGGCAACACCCTGGAAGCTCCAGACCCACTCATTGCTGGGGACCCTGCAGCCAGGGATTGCCTAGCACCTCAGCAGGGGTTCCAGCTCTGCTGGCTCTGTAGTGCAAGGCTTCCCTGGTGTTCCCCACAAGTGCCCCTAAACCATAGGGGCACATCCCCTCGTCTGTGGAGAGGGTGCTGGGCACGTCCCCTGGTCTGTGGAGAGGGTGCAGGCCCGGACTGGATGCTCTTGGACTCTGAGTGGAAGACACCATGGGGACTGGAACATGCTCTGCAGAATCTTCTTCCCGTCTCTGGCCCTTCTTTAGGATGGTCCCTGCCCTCTGGAGGATACTGTCCCTGGCACTGATGGTGCAAGCAAGGCCTTGGGTGCCTCAGAGTGGCCCAGATGGGGGTGGGGAGGGCACCCCACATTGAAACAGCTACAGTGGTAAGTAGCTCCTATGTCCTGGGCTGAACAGAAGGCACAGAGACAGACATGGCCACTGAAGCAGTCTGGGGAGTCCCTGGAGGAGGGAATGGCTGGTGGCAAGGAGGGGCAGGAGAGGGTTGTGAAGTTGGGGAGAGGCGGCCAGGCTGGTGATAATGGGCTGGGGGCTCAGAGATGAGCTGGACCAGACGAGTTGGAGCATTTGTTGTAAAATTGAAAAACCCAACCCCTTGGACTGGATTTGAGAAGCTCAGGAAAGAACCAGCATCAAAAAGCCATGGATGAGGGAGTGGGGGCTGCGGTTCCCAAATTGGGAGAGGGAGTGGGAGGCTGCTGTTGCTGAGATGAGATGAAGGGTTTGATTACTGCTGATGAAGTGCCTACAGCAAGCCTGACCTTTTCTGTGACAGGGGTCCTCTTCAGAGGACAGTCCAATCTGCTGGCTGGGAAGGACAGTGGGCCCTTTGGAACTGCTTTGGGGACCATCATATTTATCCGTGGAGAGGAGGAGGTCCTCTTTGGAAACCTGAGATCTGAGTCCTCATCTTGGGTGAGCAGACCATCTCTTAGGGGGTTCTGCCCTTCTGGCCCTGCCTTTTGCCTAGTGGGCTGTGCCTGTAGGTGCCAGCCATTGCCCAGCCTGCCACCTCCCCCTTGACCTGGGCTTTGCCCCAGCCTGTGGCTCAGTGAGCCATGGGAAGGAGTACCGTTAGCACGTGTGCACCTCACAGGTGTGTGGGTGTCCCTATGTAGATGGATGCTCTGCTGTGGTGGTTTTTCCCATCTGTGGAGATGAACCTGGTGCTGGATCTTGTGGGGAAGGTTGAGGTAGGAGTGGGGGGTAGCCCCCTTGTGGGCACTGGGCTGTTGAACCAGGCAGTTGTCCTGGCCCTGGTGCCCCACACAGGAAAGCACCTATCCTTCCATCCTTCCCTCAGGATTCCTCTAGGCCCCGGGAGCACTCAGACTACATAATGCCCTTGGGCAGTGGGTGCCTAAGGGGCAGATCTTCGGTTGGACCCTCCTGAGCTTGGCCCTCCAGCCTGCACTGGCTGGGGCTCACAGAGCAGGGTCTACTGACAATGGACTTGGAGAGGGAGGGCCTCCCTGTGAGCCCGTGAACACTGCCACCCAGTCACCACTTGGGCTCAGCTGTTCTTGCTCCCACCTTTTCTGACCCCGGCTCCGTCCTAGATGCGCTCCCATCCCTGGCCCCTCAGGCAGGTTCCAGGTAGGATCAGGAGAGATGTGCCTTCTGGGGGAAGGGTAGATGTTGAGCAGCCTGGAGAAGGAAGGTCAGCTAAGGTCTTGGTCAGATTTTGCCCACCCTCCCTGAACCAGCACCACCCCCACAGACTCCCCTCCTTCTCGCTATGTCCTTCCCTCCTCAGTTCTCCTGCTGGTCCCCACATTGCATCATCCACCTGCAGAATGAGAAAGGGGCGTCCTGCGTGCCAAGAAAGAGCTGAGGTCTGGGCCCCACTGAGTACTGGCCAGCTCCTGGGGAGGAAGAGAATGAGCTCCAAGTTCAGGGAGGGGGCAGCCATCACAACCACTGACTCCTGCCCAGCGCCCTGCCCTTTACCTGTCCCAACAAGGTGCACACTGCACACGGCCCCCAGCGCCCCGTCCCCGTCCTGTAGGGCTATCAGTCCTGGTGTCCGTGGCCCCTGTGAAATGATGTGGCCCTAGGACCAGCACCAGTGTTAACTGGACCCTGACAGGCCTGCCCACTGTCACAGCTGCCAGGTGATCCTGGAGCACACACAGCCGTGGAGATCGGCGAGAGGGACTCTGGCAACTGCAGGACAGGTCGAGGGCGGAAATTGGGGCCGCATTAGATCCGAGTCCCTTAACTCCCTTTGTCCTGGCATCCCCAGAGTGGTCTGGATCCAAGTCTGCCAGGACTTGCCCTCTGCCTCTACCTGGTGACCCTATCAGTGGCCGTTCTGTGAGCCGAGCGAGGGCTGTGTCCTCTGAATGCAGGCTGCTGTCACTGACGGAGATCCAAGGCCTGACAACTGCACCCAAGGTTCTGGTCACTGCACTACACGCTGGGGCCTGCAGGGTGTGCCCGAGGACTAGCTGGCCTCTCGAGGCGGGACCAGTGTGCATGCGCGGGAGTGTAGGGCGCCTGTGGGATCCCGGCCTGGTGCTCCGGCCGGGGGTCCAGCGCCGCAGCTGCCTTTACCCCGCCCGTATCTCCTGGTCCACTGCTTAAGTAGGACGCTGCACCCTTTGCGGACACTGCGAGGGCTCAGCAGGCAATATGGTGACATCTCGTGCTGGTGGTGGCTTTCCAATGTGGTGAGAGTGGGGTGGCCGGAAGGGACTGCCTCCCCCACCTTCGTGGTCCTCGCCCATCCCGGCGCCGGTCTAGGACCCAGTAGACCGGTCGCCTGCGCCTACGTGCCTGCAGGGTTGGGTGGTCATTGGAGGGGCCTGGGCCGCAGCCAGGCTGGCAAGGGGTGGGGCCAGGGGGCACGGTCCAAGGCCCGGTTCCTTCAAAGGCAGAGGGAAACCTTTATGGTTTTCCTGTCCAGAGAGGAAGCCATTGTCTTACACAATGGGCCAGTAAGGGCAGGGACTCCAGCTGACAGGACCTGGTACCCTGACCCCAGCTCTCAACCCTGACCTCAGCCTACAAGGTGACCGGTGACCCTGATGTCATTGTCAGTCCCCACCTTGACTTCACTCTTGGCTCTGGCCAGTCCTGGCCGTGACTTTGACCAATAGACACTACTGACACTCTTACAGCTTCCTCTGTCTGTGATGCCCCAGATGCCCCCATTTGTGGGCTGCAGTGCCAGGGAGCAGCCACCACTGGGAGTGGCTTCTGTCCCCCTATGAGCAAGTGGTCTTGTTTGGGATTGGGCAGGGGTGGCTGTATAGGTCAAAGTGAATTATCTGTGAGAGCTGCCAAGACCACAGGGCACCTTGTGGGACTCCTAGGTGGCCCAGGCAGGCCCTACTTTAACCAGCCGAGGTGCGCTTGCTCCCCTCACATGTGGGTAGCAGAGGCTTGAGCAAGTCGCCACTTGGCATGTCTCAGGGCAGTCACCTTAGTCTGTGCCCTGCCCTGAACAGTGCAGCTTGGCTGCCCAGCGATGCTCTAGGCAAGAGAGCAAGACCAGTATAGAAGCCAGGGAAGTCTGGCTGCTGTGGCCACAGCCTCTGAGATGGCAGCTGGGTACTGCTGCCAAGAAGTCCCCCAGCTTCACACTGGATACCCAGGACATACATGGGGCTGCAGGAAACAGGGTGCAGGGAAAGGAAGCAGTGAGGTCGCTGAGCAGATGGTGCAGTGGTTGTTTAGAAATGGGGAAGGCTGGTTGTCCTGCACGGGCTAAGGCACAGAGTAGGGGAGTCTGGAGGGCCAGTCCCTGTGTGGTAGTTATTCAAAACCCTCTTGGGGATCTGGACAGTGACCCATGTTCATGTCCAGCACAAAAGGGGTATGATGCTCATGTGAGCAAATTGTATACACATGCATGCACATGTCAGCGTGCCTGGGAGACAAGGGCAGCTCTGTCTGGACCAGCAGGTGGTGCCACAGGATGGCCTGGTGGGCAGTGCGTCCACAGCATGTGTGCCTGGAGGTCTCACATAAGAAGGCTAAGTGCAGGGGCTATACTCTGGCCCTCAAGAGGCAGAAATGTCTACATCAAAGAGGCAAGAGTCCAAGTGAGGAGGGAGGGAGAGCAGTGGATGCTGGTGGGGGAAGAACGATGGAAAAGGCCCATCCTGATGGACAGTCAAGCCAGTGTGTCCCCAGGACACAGCTGCACCAGCACAGGCAGAGGCAGTGTGCAGGCCACCCAGTGTCACGGACATGCTCTGATCAGTAGTGGAGCCTCTGATTACTGGTGTGACCTTCCCTCACCTACTATTCAGAATCCCAGTGATGATTGTTACTAGTGCTAATCACAGAATGAGGTGATGCCATTGGGAAATTTTTTAAATTGATTATTAGATTATTAATACTAACTGTTTTGTAAATAATTTCCCTGCTGAGTTATATTACTAGTATGACAGTTTTA